AAAAAAATAATACGCCGGACGTCTTACGTGACAAATTTCCAGTTAGATAAAATTGTTTAAAAACAAAAGTGAATGTATTATGATATGGTTGATTTCAACGAGAAAATCTCTATCTCTATAGCTATGTTTCTCAGACTGCACTATTTCCTGCTATTTTCCTGCAAATGCGCAGCAACTATGTATATCTAGTTTTTAGTTTTTGAATATTTTATTTTCGAACAAACAGAATACTAAACCCAAATTGAAAAACGATTATCAGAACTCAATAGTTCTTAAAATATTTACATTCCAACCATACTAATTTCAATTAATCGGCTCTGCAAACCTTATATTGCATTTTCAACATGCATAGATCAGTATTTTTTCATAAAAAATGTCCAACTGCATCTTTTGGTTTATAAAAAAAAAATATTATTCTATTTTAAAAAGTTGACCTCCGCGTATCCTTGTCGCGTCCCCTTACGAAAAAATTAATAGCACCAGAATATGTCCAACTCCGACACCACTTAAATGTTCTATAAAACACTTCTCGCTAGATGTAACAAAATTGACAAAATCAAGATATCAAAATCGGCTGAAATACCCTATATTTGCATTTGCTATTATTACATATACTCTAATCCCGACGTACGGTTCGATAGATTCGCATAACGGAAATATATGCTAATATGCATATAAAGCGATCAGAATTGAGATAAACGGATATAAACAGAGAGGAAAAGCCAAGAGACCAAGAGAATTGCAGCGTGATAAACGACCAGTATTGTAACCTGCAGAACGACGGTGCTTTTCCGTATCTTATTTCATATTTCAATATCACAGATCGCACAGAAGTAAATGCCGGATATAGTGGATCTTGGAGTTTTCGTTTATAGCGAATTCTCTTTATGTGAATAGCTGTCTTTCTGTGCGACTTCTTCGATAGTAATAAGTCGTGCATATCCACATACCGGTAAATTACTCGAACCTTTAAAACAACTTGCAAGTCCACATTACAAAAGTGTTCTATTTCATGTATCAGATCATTTTCATATTATTATATAGCTAGATACTGGCGAAATTATAAAAATGTAACATTTTTAAGGTTCTATTGCAACGAGAAAAATAAATTCAATTCCTTTTTCGTTGTCAAACTTAATATTATTATATTATTTGCAATACATGACATCATTTAAAGTAATTTAATTCTTATGAAAAGTTCTGTATGGAATCACGGCGTTCCTGTGAGCCCATATCATTATCAAAATATTAAAGAAATAGTGTATATTATATATTTAGAAACTAGAACGAGGAGTACGAAAGATGGTAGTAAGTGGCTGCTAAGACACTTGGTAGACACATGTTTCGTGGAAAATGTCTCAACAAGTCCTTCTCGAGTCGGTTTGGTCACTTTTTTTGGGTTCGCTAGTTCTATCCTAGCAAGAATAAGGAGTGAGGATTCGTGATTTTACAGTCACTTTTTTTTCTTTTTGTAACAAGAAGTAGACACTTTAATGCACAAAATATGATTTAATTACACAGATTGACAATAACAAGTACGATGGTACACTGTACCGAAAATACGATTAACGATGGTTTACGGGTTGAAAATACGAATCACGGTTTAGAAACTATGGTAAAAAAATCGCTTTCACTGCTGACCTATGACTCCTTACGCGGTTTTATCTAGTTTAAAAACAAAAGCGGTCATACATCGCAAGATAGATCCGGTCGATGACGTGGCAATTATAATCCCGCGCGGGAGACCTGTATGAAGTTAGCACCCCATTTCGAAAATTTTTAAATTCTAAAAGTTGTTCTAGGTTGTTCTAGACTTGTTCTAAATTGTTCCAGAAGATAAAAGTTTTAGACTAATTATTTTGATAAAAAATGAAAATAAAAACAGTTTTTTGGTCTGGCACCCCATTTTTCGAAAATCAAATTTTTTATGTTGTAAAAACCACTAAAACCCCTACGGTGGACCTTCCCCGGCGCGTGAGGGGGGGTTCGTGGGTAAAAATCCCACATAACCCCGCGCCCTGCCAAAAGGATGCGGGGTATCTTTCGAAGATTTCCCCCACGTAAGGAAAAAAAAAAAAAATCGTCGTCATCAGTGAAAAATAACACATAACGGGAAAAATTTGTTTACTTCCAAGAGTAAAGTGTCCTTAAAAAATTTATTCTGGCAAAAATCAAAGTTGTTCCAGGTTGTTACGTTAATTATTAGATCAAATATGCAATTCGGTGTTTAGAAAATGATAATAATACCCGAAGATATAAGAATACTCTTTGCGCGCTCGACATCGTTTTTTTATTATATCTTTGTAAATACTTTGTTTGAGAAATTATTACTTTGGAACAATATTTGGAACAAGTAGAACAATCTGGAACAACCATAGAAAATTTGATTTTCGAAAAATGGAGTGCCAGACCAAAAAACTTTTTTTTTTCATTTTTTATCAAAATAATTAGTTTAAAACTTTTATCTTCTGGAACAATTTAGAATAAGTCTAGAACAACCTAGAACAACTTTTAGAATTTACAAATTTTCGAAATGGGTGCTAACTTCATACAGGTGCGTGGGAGCAATTTATGCGCGTATGACGCCGCAGACATTTTGCAGGGTCGTACTTAGGCTCAGGAGTGCCTAGGTTTTAGTATATTTTGGAACAACACACAATAATAATCACAATTAAAATATTGGCGTCGCACGGACCGATATGCGCGACGTTACAATTTATTAAACTGATTGCTGCGTACTCAACGCTAGCAGAATTTACATAAATTTTTTTTTCATCTTTTTACTGGTTTTAATCAAAATAATTGAAAACGAATACTATTCTAAACGTGCGATAGAACACAATACGTGGAGATTTCATAGGTAGTTTATGATGGGTCGGAGACCAACAGTTATTTTTGAAGGAGAGAATTTAGCCATCGTTGGCAATATACAATATTTTAGCTTTTTACGAACAAAGCATTTAGAATTTCTAACTTTCGTTTCGTCTTCAATAACTATTTCCATCATAAAAGGGGTTTTTCCCGAAGGGTACCAAGAATGGACCTCGGTCACTACATAGCGGTATTTTTTGGACAACGCACACGTCACCTGGAGAGTAAAACCCCGGCGTTGCCCTTGGAGATCCTAACGTACACATCGGTATTTTTCCTCACCCTCTTCTAGAAAAGACACGCTAAGCGTGCAAGAGAGGGTGGGAATTAATGAAAATCAATCAGCGTGCTTCCTTGAACTTCCAACGTTTTGCGGAAATCAAGACGAGAACGTATCGTCAGAAGAATATACTAACAAGTCATTTGTTTCGGACACATCTTCGAGCCTAATATAGCATTATCGTCGTTGGATGCACTGTTAACGCTCGTGGTTGAAATAAATTCTTTCGAGCTTTGGTGAATATTGCACGTGGTGTGCCGTGGTGTTTATTGTAAAGTCTATAACTATTTCCTTACTCGAAGGACCACTCCAAAACTTGGAGACTATACAAACTAATACAAGTTGTTACTATTACGAATGTTAAGAGGCGAATGACATTTTTCTTATGAATATGAAAGTACGTTACATGCTTACAGTTTTTACATGGTGAGTGTTTCTTAGCACGTAATTCGCGATGTTAATTTTTAAATTAATAACCGAACTATCGCGCTTCCTTACTCTTGTTACAGAAATAAGGATAATTTGTCTGTATTTCGTTAGAAGTCTTTTATTTAAAAATGTGTGTTGATACAAGTGTTTGTGTGGTTGAATTTAACCTTTGAACTGTATTTCAAACGGAAACTGAACTCAACTTGTTGATAGATTCTGAACGAAAAACTGTAACGTAATAATCGTTGTGATTGTAAGGCACATACGGAACGTAGAGAACATAAGAACGCAATGAAGTGTTTTAGTTTTCTTGTAGACCAAGAAACCTCTCTATCAAATAAGCCCGAGCGTCAGGGTGTTGGTCTAGCGTGGCTGTCAACAGAGATCATCAATCAGGGTGGTGTTTGGCCTCTGACAATACACATGATAGGTCAGCTTCTAGAATTATCACGCTAGACACTTCCCATGTATGCCGGCTGTCTTTGCAAAAACCTCCCTCCTAGTATCTTGTAACAAATCAACTCTCTGCTCGTGTCTATCTTAGAATTGTGATTAGCGTCAGGGAGTTGGTCTAACGTGGGCGTCACCGAAGGTTACCAATCAGGGTAGTTTTTAACCTGTGACAAAGAGCTAACCTAGTCTAGCCCCTTAACCAGCACGAGAGACGCTTCCCATGTATGATATTTGGAAAAAAACTGCAGCTGTGGTACACGTGGGTAGCTGTTATTTAGCTATGACCCGTTGACTTGGGACCCTGTCCTTGAAGTACGCATACTTCGCGGACCGTGACACCACAGGAGGTACGTTTATGCGACCCCGAAACAGAGAGTGATAAATTGAGAAAAAGTCAGTTCTATGTTGTCTGTTTGGGTTTTCTCAAGAGTTGAATGAGAGGACGAAAGTGTCCGGAAATCATAAATTGACTTTCTTACGATAGCTAAACAAAACGCGATGGAAAGCAAAGTTTCGACTATACGAGAACCTCCTTCGGGTAGGTTCTGTTCAATGCTAAAGACGCTTCAAACCTAAAAGGTTATTGCTTCAGTATGTGCTGATTGCCTGAAGGGCTGTAAAAATTAACGCAGCGTTTTTGGAATTCTATAGACTATTCAACTCGGAATAGCAGTAATAAATTAAACATGGGTTAAACGATCCTTGAAGAGGCTATCCGAAGATATATGAGTGGACTGTAAATCAATGTATAACTAATTTAGAGGGGTACTTTATTTCTACAACACGGTCCTGATTCTAACATTATTTATTGTAATCTATTATACTATCCTTTTCGCGACATCGCGAAACATCTTCACCCCGTTGAGAGGGCACCGATCAACAACTAATCAATGTGTGTGAGTGCATGTATGTGCGTGTATGTGCATGTATGTGCGTAATGAAATTATATATTGTAGGTTTCTGCGCCTTAAACAGTTTGGTTTGATTGGTTGGGCAGCGGAACGAGTCGTTTGATGCTCCGGTCCAGCGTACCCTTGGCTGTTTTGACGGTGACAGCTCGCACTATTCCATCTGTTCCTGGGTGAACCTTGATGACCTTGGCCAAGGGCCAATGCAGTGATGGAACGTTGTCTTCACGAAGTAAGACAATTGTGCCCTCCTTGACTGTATGGTCACCTTTGGTCCATTTGCTGCGTGTGGTCAGTTCGTTCAGGTACTCCCGGTGCCATCGAACCCAAAAATGTTGTTTTACTTTTTGGATTTGCTGCCAACTCGAGAGGCGGTTTGTAGGTATCTCTGCAACATTTTTCTCACGCAAACTGGCTATTGAATCGCCAATCAGAAAATGTCCTGGCGTAAGGACAAGCAGGTCGTTATGGTCTGAGGATATAGGTGTTAATGGATGGGAGTTCAGAATGGCTTCAATTTCTATGATGAGAGTGTTAAAATTCTCAAATGTAAATAGTTCGGATCCGGCAACCCGTTTTAGGTGATATTTGAAGGATTTGACGGCTGCTTCCCACAAACCGCCAAAGTGTGGTGTCAGTAGAGGGATAAACTTCCATTCTATAGATTTCCCTGCCAGAAATATCGTCACTTGGTTTTGATGTTCTTCTGAACGTAGCAATAGTTGCAATTCTCGCAATTCATTATTCACTCCCACGAAGTTGGTCCCATTATCTGAGTAAATGTGGGAACAGAGTCCCCGTCGTGCAATAAACCTCTTAAGTGCAACAATGAAGGCCTCGGTGATTAAGTCGCTGACCAATTCCAAATGAACTGCCTTGATGGCTAGGCAAACAAATACCGCAACGTAGACCTTTATCCGATCATGGTTTCGTTGCTTCCGTTCTTTTATATAAAACGGTCCACAATAATCCACACCTGTATGAGTGAATGGTCGAGATTCGGTGACTCTGGCGGCAGGTAGGTTATCCATTAAGTAGCTGACCGGCGGTGGTTGGGCCCGACAACACCGTACGCAAGGTTTTATTGCTTTCCACACTTGTTGCCGGCCATCGATGGGCCAGTAGCGCCGTCTGACCGCGTAAAGGGTCGTCTGGGTACCTGTATGGAACTGTTTTCTGTGTTCGTCGTCGATGATAAGTAAGGTAATGCGATTTTTGGGTAGAATGATGGGGTGTTTTTGTGCAAATGGCATTAATGAATGTTTTAACCGGCCCCCGACACGCAGGATACCGTCAGAATCTATAAACGGATTTAATCTTCTTAATCTATTTTTTAAATGCGGATTTTTGCCTTTTAATAGTTGTTCTAATTCATCTGAAAAATGGATTTTCTGTACAAGTTTGATAATTGTATCATGGGCGTGTCTTAATTCTTTTGCTGTTAAGGGTCCTTTTGTATGATTGGTTGATTTCCATTGGAGGCACCAAGCAATCACCCGTACTAGCTTCTCCCAAGAAGAAAAACGATCCAGGAGACTGGTATCAGGAAGAGTTGTGGCTAAACAAACTACTTCCCGCTGTTCTAACGTCGTGTTGCAAGGTGTGATTGTTGTGGTTGGCCAGTGATCTTCGATGTTGTACAGCCAATTCGGCCCAGTCTGCCATATCGATGGACGTAAGAAATCTTCGGGCAATTGTCCTCTAGAAATGAGATCCGCTGTGTTGTCTGAAGTAGAAACGTGTCGCCAGTCTGTGATATTGGTTTGATTTTGAATTTCGGATATCCTGTTTGCTACAAAGGTTTTCAGTAAATGTGGTGACGTTCTTATCCAATGAAGTACGATTGTGGAATCGGTTTAACATATTGTTCGGTTAATATTTATTTTCAACGCCTTCTGAGCTGTGGTAACTAGTGAAGAAAGTAGTAATGCTCCGCACAGTTCCAGTCGCGGTATGGATTGACTTTTCAAAGGTGCAACTTCTGACTTTGCCATAAGGAGTTGTGTTTTGCATTGACCGTGTTTGTCTGTGGAACGGAGATAAAGACAAGCGCCATATGCGCGTTCGCTAGCATCACTGAAACCATGTAACTCCACTATGCTAGGTTCATCGATCAAGGTTTGTCGGTTGAAAGCTACGTTGTTCAAAAGCGGTAATTTTTTATAATATTTGAACCATTCAGTATGTGTGTCCATTGGTAAAGACTCATCCCAGTCTAATTTTAAAGTCCATATTTTTTGTAGCATTATTTTTGCCAATATGATAACAGGTCCGAGCAGTCCTAGAGGGTCGTAGATTTTTGCGATAACGGAGCTGATACTTCGTTTAGTGAAAGAATTTGTTGATGGCGGGTTTGCGATTGAATATCGGATTGTATCGTCACTTGAGTCCCAGAACACTCCTAAAGTTTTAATGGTTGATGATTCGCCCAGGTGTAGTCGTTTGTTAATGGATTGTTCTGGAAGGTTTTGAAGTAATGCCCTGTGATTGGAAGCCCACTGACGAATGTTTAGTCCTGCCGTTTGTAAAAGTTGTATCAATTGATTTTGTAATGTTAATGCTTCGTCAATCGTCGCCGTTCCAGTTAAAAGATCATCCACGTAAAAGTCTGTGATTAGGGTCTGTGCTGCTTGGGGAAATCGGTGTCCTTCGTCTTGAGCTAATTGTGATAGGCAACTGATTGCCAAATATGGAGCGGTGGAAAGTCCAAACGTGACTGTGTTTAATTGAAATGTTTTCGGGGCTTGATCTGAGGTTTGCCACAGAATCTGTTGGTACTTCCTGTCTTCAGGACGCACTAGGAACTGTCTGTACATTTTTTCGATATCACCTGTTAATACATACCGATGGTTTCGGAATCGAATTAATATGTACAACAGGTCATCCTGTATCTTTGGACCGACATGTAACGTATCGTTCAAAGAAACGCCTGTAGAAGTTGCTGCGGAGCCATCAAACACAACCCTGAACTTGGTGGTATCACTGGTGATCTTAGTCACCCCATGATGCGGCAGGTAATACATCCCGTCCTTTTCGTTGTGAACTTGAGTTTCGGACATGTGACTTAAATCAAGGTATTCTGGTAATACTGCTCGGTATGCCCGCCCATACTCTTCATCGCGTCTAAATCTTCCTTGTAAGGATGAAAATCTCTTCAAGGCTCGAGATTTAGATTCTCCTAATTGTGAAAGTTTGTCATTAAATAGAAGAGCTACAATATATCTACCCTCGGAAGTCCGTGATATAGTTTTCCTAAAATATTCTTCGCATTCCCTGTCGGCCTTAGACAGATGTTGGATTTGGGGACCGTCTTCTAATTTCCAAAATCGGGCCAAATCAAGCTGTATTGGGGTAATAATATGACAAGTGGCTTCCTTGGTCAATCGATGAGTTGGAGTACTTCCACCAATTATCCAACCTAATTGTGTCTTCTGCAGGTACAAATCTGATCCGTCAGGAGGAGATAATTTGATTTGTCCAATACTCAACAGTGACAGTGTTACTCCAGCACCTAGTAATAAGTCAACTGGAGCAGGTATTGAAAATGCTGGGTTAGCCAATGTTAAATTGTTGGGAATTTTTAACAATGTTCTGTCGATAGGTTGGTCTGGTATGTTTGAAGCTATGTTTGGTATGGCCAAGAATGTTAAGGTCCGTCTATAGTTAGTGGTAGTAGAAGTCAAGGTTGCCGTGATTGTGTTTTTTGCAACGGTGGACATTGTATTGATAACCCCGACAAGAATTGAACACCTGCCCAAAGGTATGCTCAACCTTTTGGCGAGGCGCTCGCTCATAAAATTTGTTGACGCACAGGTATCGATAAGGGTCCGACAAAGAACCGGTTGGTGATATTTGTCCAATACGTAAACCTGTGCGGTTACCAGCAAATCATGAGTGATTGTGTCAATAGTAAACGCTTTCTGATATGTTATTTCCCGAGGCGTTTCAACTACTAGTCAACTTGTTTCTTGACTATTCATTGGTTGACGAGAAGTTGCTAATGTCTGAGTTGATGAATTCGTCAAAGGTGATCTGTAATGTAAGAGTGTATGGTGCTTTCCCTGACATATTCGGCAAGTCCTTCTAGTGCATGAAATAGATCCATGTCCTCTTCGCAAACAGTTGAAACAGAGTCCAGCTTTTACAACAATAGCTTTTCTATCGTTAACAGATAGTTCATTAAATTGTTGACAGCTCCAGATCAAGTGATCCTTCTTACATACTGGACATTGAAAATCTGTATGTTGAGCCCGGGTCGTCGATGCTCGTTCATAAGGATGATTCTTGTGTTGTTTCGTCGTTACGAGTACTTGCCCTCGCGATGATCGATGTTTATTAACAGATTTGTTATGGCCGTAAAGTCGAGTTTCCTGTTGTCCAGTTGAAGTCACAGATTTTGAAGAGGAAGGAACTGTGCAGTTTGCCCGTCTTTCTATGAATTGTAATAATTCAGTGTATGCTGGCATTCGTCTTTTATCCTTAAGCGTTAATTCCCAGTGCCACACCGTATCCGCGTTTAATTTCGAAATGATTATGGAGAGCAAGATGCTGTTCCACGATGCCGCCCAAATTTTTGAGTGCCCGAAGATGTTGATTTACGGTGTCCACCAAATTAGCTAATGCTTCTGGAGTATCTTTCAGTAACTTCGGGATATTCCGTAACGCATCGCAGTGACTAAGGATTATACGACGTGGGCAATCAAACTTCTCTTTTAAACTGTCGATAGCGTCCGTGCAATTCGCGTCAGTCGTAGTTAAGGCTCCAATACAAATCGCGGCCTTGCCAGTTAGGGTTGACCGCAGGTATTGTAATTTTTGAACCGGGGTCAAATCCTCGTTACCCCAATTTTCGATTGTTCCATCAAACGTTGGTAGCCTCATCTCAGGTAATTTGATAGCCATCGGTGCCGGTACCGTCGATGCCGGTGACGGATTAATCCGAACCGTGGTAGGAACCGATGATTGAGTACTATTCAAAGTCGCTTTGCCCGTGCTATCACAGCGTAATAATTATTTTGAATCTCAAACCGACGCGTTTCTTCAGACTCGTCGAGCTCTTCAATACTAAATTGTAAATCATCGAATTTTTTCCAGACCTCATTTAGTCCGTTGATGTGCATTTCCAATAAGTACGTATCCTCGGAGTGTGTATCTTCAAAATAATCCAAGAACGCGATCAAAGACGAAGCCCGATAATATGGCTGCGTTTGCGTCGTAAAATACTAATACTCAGACCACCGGCTGCGGATTGCGGTTGAGCAGAACTCGCGGAGGTATTCGGCATTTTGGAGATGGTCAGGAATGACAATTATAAAAGATTGATCCTACCTTTTCTGGTGGAGAACGTCTTTATCCGAAATCGCTCACTTTTCGACTACTTTTAGACTGCGTGACCTATTGCACCGTAATCCAATGTTTGTTGCACACACTGTTGTGTTCACTTCTGCTTATTTCACGTAACTGTGCACTAATGTTTGTGGCTACACGTTACTATTGTCACTATCCGGCTCGAAGGACCAATGTTTCTTAGCACTTAATTCGCGATGTTAATTTTTAAATTAATAACCGAACTATCGCGCTTCCTTACTCTTGTTACAGAAATAAGGATAATTTGTCTGTATTTCGTTAGAAGTCTTTTATTTAAAAATGTGTGTTGATACAAGTGTTCGTGTGGTTGAATTTAACCTTTGAACTGTATTTCAAACGGAAACTGAACTCAACTTGTTGATAGATTCTGAACGAAAAACTGTAACGTAATAATCGTTGTGATTGTAAGGCACATACGGAACGTAGAGAACATAAGAACGCAATGAAGTGTTTTAGTTTTCTTGTAGACCAAGAAACCTCTCTATCAAATAAGCCCGAGCGTCAGGGTGTTGGTCTAGCGTGGCTGTCAACGGAGGTCACCCATCAGGGTGGTGTTTGGCCTCTGACAATACACATGATAGGTCAGCTTCTAGAATTATCACGCTAGACACTTCCCATGTATGCCGGCTGTCTTTGCAAAAACCTCCCTCCTAGTATCTTGTAACAAATCAACTCTCTGCTCGTGTCTATCTTAGAATTGTGATTAGCGTCAGGGAGTTGGTCTAACGTGGGCGTCACTGTCAACGGAGGTCACCAATCAGGGTGGTGTTTGGCCTCTGACAATACACATGATAGGTCAGCTTCTAGAATTATCACGCTAGACACTTCCCATGTATGCCGGCTGTCTTTGCAAAAACCTCCCTCCTAGTATCTTGTAACAAATCAACTCTCTGCTCGTGTCTATCTTAGAATTGTGATTAGCGTCAGGGAGTTGGTCTAACGTGGGCGTCACCGAAGGTTACCAATCGGGGTAGTTTTTGACCTGTGATAAAGAGCTAGCCTAGTCTAGCCCCTTAACCAGCACGAGAGACGCTTCCCATGTATGATATTTGGAAAAAAACTGCAGCTGTGGTACACGTGGGTAGCTGTTATTTAGCTATGACCCGTTGACTTGGGACCCTGTCCTTGAAGTACGCATA